TGAAGCAATATTTCATGATTCACTGTGTCATGTAGACCTTGGTCTACATATATATTAAATTATTAACCATTCATTCTGTATGTGCACGAAAATTTATTTCAATCAAATACTAGGTGGCCTAGTGGTTAGAAGATCCGCCTTGTGCGCCGAAGGTTCAGGATTCGAATCCCAGTGTCATATAGTCTAGGGAGTAGCTAAGGATCCATTGGATTTATAATGCGATCTCCTCGGTCGACTCAGCCGAATGATAGGAAACTAAAATGAGGGTTTCAAGAAACTTCCTAGGATACTCCTTTAGCTTCTATTCAGTGCATACTATTAATGCACCACACCGCTACACCACACCGCTACCTCCACTGCACTAATAGTTATACAATAAATTCTACAATCCTAATTTTGTGTCGTGATGGAGACCGGTGTTCATACAAAACATTTACTAGGTTGCCGTTTGGTGTGAGCAATAGCGAACAGCACGCACACTCCTTTGCCCCGTCAACCTATATCTAATTAGTATTATTAAATCTAACCTTAAAAAGCACATGCTATCCCTCCAAAATCGAGGTGACCCTAATATATGGTAACTAATCTATATTATATCTCAAATTCTACATCTGGTACGGCTCTGCACACATGATATCTCTCTCTGCCATGAAACATGGCTAACCTTTCAAACTATGATTTAAAACATAAACCTAAACTAAAACTCAACTGGGCTCTCCTATGTCACCAAACTAGACCAATAAGCAATTTTAGCTTAGATAATTATATTTTTCTATATTTGTATAATAAGTTTTATATTGACGTAGTGGATGGTTGAGGGGGTTTCAAGCACAGGTCACTCTCAAATCCTAAAGATAAGCAGTGGCCTTCGGCACTTGAAACCTCTTCAAACCTCCCCTGATTTATTTATTATTGATATTGTTTGATTGTGCCGTAAAAATAAATATTTGTTTTATTAAATATTTGTTTTATTAATCTATTTAAAGAGTGACAACCATACTGCACATTGAATTAGGATTCCGTTAAATATCAAATTGATTTATTGTAAACTTGTTTAATCTGTAATAAATGGCATAAAATTGAAATTTTTGTTTAACTGATTTTTTGTTCATGATACTGTAAACAAATCCTCATCTAAATTGAAGTTCTATTTTATCTAATGAAGCAAGATTTTGAGCCAGAAGCTTATTAACGAGTGAATAAAATCCCAGACGTCCGAAAAAGCCTTCGTATCAGCTGCCACAACCTTTGCTCAAGTTTCAAAACATACTCCAGACCAGCCTATTGACAAAGAAAGATCTAAAAAATTCCTGAGATGCCAACAGTTGTTGTGTGTCAGCATTTTCGTCCATAGACCATACACTCTTTAAGATAAAGCTCCTCCTTTGAGATGATTTGATTTTATTTACTCGTTAATGGCAGTTAGTATTTCTATGAAGCTTCATGTAAAAGAAAGATTAAGTATTTAAAACAGGGAAAAGGTCATTTGTACCACTTATATACTAAACAATAAAAGAAAAGAGGGCCAAGGGATGCAAGGGTTACGAAGCGTCTTCATAAAAAATCTCCACGAGAGTAGATTGTCTGATAGGTTTTGCATGAACTAGGCTCTACTTTTCACTACTTTACTGTTACTATAACTTAGAACTTGGGTGTCAGATGTTAGCAGGTTAAAATTTACTTAACAATGAATAGTGGGATGTGATGGTCATGAAGGGAGCCATTTTTTGGTTCATGAAATTAAATGCTGATAAGCCAGGACATTATTATTTAAATGTAATTTATAGGCTGAGAAAGCATCATCCTTTTCATGTACACTGTACTGTAAAACTCAATATACCTCACCTTGATTTACCGAAAACCCTGATTTACCCAACCATTTCCTCACCTCCAAATAGGGCTTTAATGCACATATTGTAAACAAACAAAATCACAATTTATTCCTTTCCCCCAACATAACACTCTGCAGTCTGCAGTGAACTGGTATTTTACTCTATTGATAATTTTGAAACAATGGAAAGCAATATGGGAATTGGGATATATAAATCCTTGCACCCATACACTGTTATGTAGAAGCCCTCAGGCCCTGTCAAAAGATGTAAAGCTTTCCAAAGTAACCCTGTATATTACACTTCAAATGATCCCAGGGGGACTCCCAACCCACCGCTTGTTGATATACCTTTCATAAGCCACTTTCATAAGCCACTTTGGTCTACTAGCTATGAGATGTCTGAGCTAAAAAGTTGGGTCCCTCTTATTATCCTTTTATATATCTCGTCAGAGGTATGAGCTCATTAGCTATGTTTCAACTTACTACACTTCAAATCATAGTTTTATAAAATAAAAAACACTCATCAAAAAGCAAAAGTTCAAAATTAAAAGACCATATCACCAATCACAAATATCGGATTAAAATAGGGGGAATCAGCTGTTGGCTGCCAGAAATCCTGATCTTTGATAGCTTAGAACCTATGTAATAGTTTATACATTTATTGGTCCACTTGAGTTCAGTGATGCCGGGGGGGGGGGGGGGGGGGGGGGTCATACACTTAGTACCGTACGTGACGTTGGGGTGGGTCATATTTTATTCCAAAACACAGTTAGTATTTTTGTACTAAGTGGTCGGTCTGCTGCTCATTTTATCTCCGAGAAAAACAGTTAGTGCATGGTACTAAGGGGGGTGTCCAACCCAAAAAAAACCCATTTTACCTCTAATTTCAATTTTGGAAATTGGTTTCATTGGGTTTTGAGGTTTTTTCGGGTTTTTTTTCGGTTTTTTAAATATATTGCGCTGTTTATACTTTTTCAATTCATCTGCGATAGTGAAGTCCTGGCCGTAGGCACGGGTTACACCAGTTCTGTATTGCTGTGTAAATTTGATTCTAATTCTAATTATAATTCTCTCATAAAATGATTACCTTACAAGACTTTTTTGTGGCGGACCAATTTGCGACGACCGAACTTTTGGAGGTCCGAAAATATGGCGAAATTGAACAAAAACCGTCACATTTCGGACGTCACAGAAAATAAGGGTATTTTTCATCATTTTGTTTTCTGACACAAAGGATTCAAAATTTTCTAAAAATCGGTAAAATCATGTTGAAACAAAATGAAACTTATAAATCGATTTCTTCATCTTCGGCGGTCCGGCTCGACTCTTTCAGTTTCACGCTGTTCTCCAGTGTACTCCCAGGAGTAAGATTCTCGGATAAGCTGCTTCATCTTGTACACGATGTCTCCGAGGCCTTTGAAAGTAAGTTTCAACTTGACTTCCAATCCACCGGAGGGTATTATAGGGGAACGACGGTGTCTGCTATCCTCAACAACTCCATTAATTTCCCCACCGTGGCACATGAAATAGTGACATTGTTTACTAACTTCTAACGGAATATGTCCGACGGTTACCAACTGTGGAACAAGCAAACCTCTTCCGTCCTTTATCCGCTTCACGGCACACGCATACCGATCATGTTGAAGAGACACATTGTTAGTTTCCTAATGGATAGTAACCTTCTCACCATCGTAGATATCAGTCCATGTGGTTACTTTTCCGGAACAAGATCCTTTTTAAATTGACTTGAGTAATAAGATGATTACTGATTAGTGCTGATTTTAGTATTTCAATCTAAAATCTAAAATTTACTCTACTGATCAATGACAGTATATATCTGCATCACATGACTTATTGAGTTTGGTATTAAATTGTTTATCTTGACTTAGTCTCTTATAAGACGTTTATGTAATTTATTGTAAATTTAAAACGTATTACTTGACATTAAATTCATGGAATATTGTGTTTATTTGTCCCACCATCAAGGGTCGACCGAGTCCTCGGCCTCGGTTTTACCGAGGAATGGCGATTTTTCCTCGGCCTCGGCCTCGGTCAGGAGGACAATTCCTCGGTTCGCCTCGGCCTCGGTCAAAAATAGATTCGAAATTCCTCGGCCTCGGCGAAATTTGACGATTTTACCGAGGATTTGACCGAGGATTTTTGTTGAAATTTTGGGAATTTTTCTACAGACTTACAGAGGTTAATGTAAACGAATTTGTAAAATTGAAAATAAAACGACCAATTGACCAGGACACAAAACTAAAAATATCATAGTCTAAGATTCATCGTCTGATGAAATGACAATATCTGAGCACTCTGAATCAGAATAATCTTCTGTGCACAGCTCAGAAGGGGGACAGTCCTCTTTATTTGGGGCTTCAAATTCATTTGGACAGGGGCCGAAGTCGTCCCCAAATGTTCCGATGTTCTTTTTGAGAAACAAGCACCCCTCAAAGTTTGTTGGCTTAAGGCTACAAGATGGCTGCCGGAGCTAGAGTTTTTGGTTGTACCTGATGCACCGACACCATCCATCTCACCACGCTTCTGATAGAATATTTCAAATTTCACTGTCAATTACTCAGATCCTGCCTGGGCATGCCCACTCCTGACTCTTGGCGAACTTGCCCCTTCATAATGATTGTAGCGTGTGTACACAGTATATTAGTACACAGTACAATCTAGGTACAGTGCGCTTTTCCTAATAAACAATGCCCTTTTTCCCAACAATTTTTCTGCCAAAATTCCTCGGCCTCGGCCTCGGTCAAAATTTGCACTCCTCGGCCTCGGCCTCGGTCAAAAAAAAGAAACCTCGGTTGTCCTCGGCCTCGGTCTTAACTAACTGTATTTTACTCGGCCTCGGCCTCGGTCGAAAATCCTGCCCTCGGTCGACCCCTGCCCACCATCATATCACTAACTTTTCAAGAACAAAATGAATCGATGAAGCCACAATTATTGGAATAAGCTAAAAATAATGCGATGGATTCTATTACGACGACCGAAATTTTAGCGGTCCGAAAATATGGCGAAATTTCAGGAAAACCGTCGCATTTCGTACGTTATGAAAAAGTCTTGTAAGGTATTTAATGCTTATTATTCTAGTTTTGCATCTTGTGGTTAATATGATTAGAATATTAAATCTTCTTTATTTTGTAACTGAACATTTTCACACAGTATGAGTATTGTCTCAAACAATGGATCCGGTTTAGATCAGCAGGTAATTATTATTGTTAAATCTAAAATAGCTAATAATTTAAATAATTTTTAAGGTAAGAGTTACATATATATGTATATAATGTGATTAGATTTGCCTGAACAATAGACTAGTATGCTTTAATATAAAAGTGCATGATTTTGACGGTTTCATAAGTTAAAGAATTTCATTATAATCAACACAAGGTAGTTAGTGAATAAATGTATTAATCGGTTGTAGTTAATTCGATTAAATAGAATTTAACATGATATGCAATGTAACATCGAATGTAATTGATAAACTAAATCCGCTAATAAAAAACTTGATTTTATTTATTAATTTATTTAATGTTTCAGTTAGCTGGTCTAGATATCAATAAAGACTCGGCCGGTCGGGGTGGCCGGGTGGGGGCCTATGTGCCCCCACACCGCCGAGACGGTGACGGTGATGGTGACGGTGACACAGGAAGCAACAGTGGGCGCTCCGACTCCGGCAGGCGCAGCAAGAACTCCGACTATCGCTCCAATGACGACGTAAACGGTGGTGGTAGGAGCAGAGGGTATGTTCATTAATAATAATTAACAATAATTAATAGTAATTAGCAGAGGGTATAGTATGTCAGGGAACTGAGTAATTAACTAATTAAGATCGAAATAGAGGGTATTTTTTGAGAACTGATAGTAATATTGAAAACAAGCCAAGCCTAGGGGAGAGGGGTTTGAAACACTTTATGCTCCTGCAATTACTACACATGTGTTGAAATGATTTCAGAGGAAGGAATTAGTTCTAGAAAGAGACTAAAAATCTGATTTACATTATCATAGTATTATTTGTGAACCGAGTTGCAATATTTACTCAAAAAGTAAGCTAAAACAATATCTATAAAGTAAATTAAAACACCACTCAGAAACCGAGGAGGAGGAGGAGGCGGCGGCGGAAGGAATAGCAGAGGTAACCACGACAACGGCTACAAGCGTAGTGACTCTGGCCGTAGTGACTCCCGCAACGGCGACTACAGAAACGGCGGAAACTTCAGGTCCAATGACAGGTATTACCATATATGGGCACCACGTGCTCTATTACCATGTATGAGCATCACTTGCTTGCTCAATGTACTAATGTACCAGGAACAATCGAGTATATACTTACTTGAGCGATAAATTAATCACGTTTTCTGTAGAATAGCGATACAACGATGTAATTGTTCGTATTAATTAACTAATTCGCATTAATTAATAAATCTACCAATTAACTAATTAACGTTTTCCTTTAAAGGGAATTTGACAGGAGTGACAGCAGAGACAGCTACAGCAGGAGTGACAGTAGAGGAGGGGAAGGAGGGTACAGAGGAGGAGGTAACAGCTACGGTCGCAAAGATGACCACCGCAGTGACCGCCGTGGTAACAACTCTCGGGATCGTCTTGTCGCTGATTGGTCCAAACCCAAACCCAAGAATGAGGCTCTTGAAAGGTAGAGTCTAGTTTTATTGGTTGCACAGTGGTATTTGGTTGTGCATTTTATGTCTTGTTCGTGTTTTAAATTTGAACTGATTTTTTTCGAGAAGTATAAGATCATAACTAACTGTAAATTTCAACTAACTCGCGGCGAGTTAGTTGAAATATAATTAGTTACTCGCCAGTCCAAATGCTCATATTCTGAACTCAAAGCGTCTTTTACCGGACTAAAAACCTCCTCCACTGCACTAAAAACCTTCTCCACTGGACTAAATATAAGTTCTCTTCCAAGAAGTGTCACTCCAAATGAACTGTCCTAAGTGTCAGATCTTTAATCTAGGAAAGACGGACATAAACTCATGAGTTGGTTGAAATATACATTTTTCCAATTTATAAAAAAAACGCAAGAGGATATTTTCTAAATGTTTCAACAATTTCAATGAGGAAACGACCGTAACGCGTTATGTAGACTATTAATAAAAATAGACCTAGAAAACAGGAAAGCTAAAGGATGTCATTTTCAGTGTTCTGAATTTACAATGACATCATCATATTCCGAATTATGACGTCATCATATTCCGAGTTATGACGTCATCATATTCCGTCATCATAGTTCGTAACACGTCATCACTTTCACTCAGGGACCTGTTCGGAACTGGAAACACAGGTATCAACTTCGACAAGTACGAAGACATTCCTGTTGATGCGACTGGTAACGATGTTCCTGAGCCAATCAAGGAGTTCTCTGACATTAACCTGGGCGAGATTATCCAGGTTAATTCTATACCATTATACAATATACATAGTACATTATATAGTACATTGTATACATTTTATACATTGTACATCATACATTGTGTTTACAAAAAATGTCTCTATGGTTCAAATCTTTAACTAGCACTTGAGCCCCAAGCAAGTCCCATTTAGGCCCCATTTAGAAATTAGAGTTTAGACCCTCACGTTAAACCATTATCCGGTAAGCTAATAAATATTAGATCTAACTTATACACTATCTAGCACACTTGCGTGGTAATGTATATTACACAACTTAACACTGCCCCCACTGCACTATATTATATAGTGGGGGCAGTGTATATATAGTCTATATATATCCTTCTGTTTACTACACGCAATTAAACATCCTGGTGGGTGTTAGTAAGCTGTAAGGTAAATATTTAGACAGTTTTAATACTTTCAAGTTTCAACACTACTATTATATAATAACAAATAATTTGAGGCTTATGTCACTGAAGATGATGCCTTGCAACATGTTTGACGATAGCCTGTAAATTGATAGTTTGATCTCAGTATTTACAACAAATCATCTAGCTTGATTGATTTAAAGAGAGAATTAAATTCCTCATTAGACAGTAAGTTTGGCATCATGGTGTATTGCTGAGATGGAATGTCCCTAAGTGGATTCTACGATATGTAGCCACTCGTATTTTGGTCACGTGTTAAAGGGGAACACCTTCAGTACCATATCAGATATCAATGTTGGGAAGATAGTTGAATGAACAAAATATGCACATTGTACATCATGGTGTATTGCATAGTACATCATGTATATGGACCTTTGATGATAAATATACTGTTTCCGCTGTTTCATTTTTATTCTCCTTGAAAGAAAGATAAAAGTGAATGATGTACCACAAGGATATATACTATATAATAACAGATACATTAAAGATAATATCTCCAGTACCTCTAACCATATCTTATTTACAGGGAAACATCAAGCTGTCTCATTACGCCAGCCCCACACCAGTACAGAAATATTCCGTTCCCATTATCAAGGGAAAGAGAGATTTGATGGCATGTGCTCAGACTGGTTCTGGTAAAACTGCTGCTTTCCTCCTCCCTATACTTTCCAGGATCTGTGAAGAGGGTCCTGCCCAACAGGTTATTTGTGTTTAATTAATTAGTAAATTAATTTAGTTAATTTTAGTATGTTGTTTCGGTTTCTGTCCTGGAGCAGGTTCATAACAGATGAGTTTGCTGCAAACAATAAATGTTTCATGTCTGGGTTGTTAATTCTGTAAACTTGAACTTTTAAAAGAACTAAGAAATATTTTTAAATTGGATGTTTTGAAGTGGAACAGGTAAAAACGATATTTCTTCATCTGACCGGGACACCTTGCCTTCTTTGAAAATATAATGTAATAAACTGCCCTGCCCATGCACTTAGTGCATACTTAAAAGTATAAAAATAGCTCTGGTGGAAAAAACGTGTGGTAAATTTAAGGCGGACATCATTCAAATAGTTTAAAGATGAGACTCCTTCATTAGTGGCATCTTTAAGTGGATATGCTGGTGATGGTGTGATGATGTTTAGGGGGGGGGTGGGGGTGCCGGGGGGTTCATGACCCCCCCCCCCCCCCCCCCCTGTTTAACGAAACCACCCACATTTTAAAGGGGCGCGGAAACTCACATGTTTTTTCAACCTTGAGTAACATTGGGAAAATGGTGCACATTGTAGACCCTGAAAAGTATATAGTGTACTATTCTTTCATTATAAGATACATATAACATATAATTACCTCCAAGGCATAAAATATACGACACGCACGTGATCTACATAAAATATCCACACCGTCACGTACGTTACTCACTTGAAAAGCAAAGTTGATTATATTGCCATTTATTTATAGTACTCCAGAGAATGTTCGATTTTCTTACATGCTTACATTTTATGATCATTTGATGTGCAACACAAATTGAATGTTTTACGAACTACAACCGTGATAGCCGAAACAATATCAATAAATACGATTTAATATTTTTTTCCGTTTTACATAAAATAACTAGATGGAGGCAGGAGGTGACCGGGACATGATTTTAGGCCTGACCGGGACCGGGACCGGGATACAAAATGTGACTTGACCGGGACCGGGACCGGGACCGGGACCGGGACTGAGATTATCAATTTACCGTGACCGGGACCGGGACCGGGACCAATAATTTCTGGGATTTCTATCTTACCGGGACCGGGACCGGGACCAACAATCCAATTTTACCGGGATGACCGGGATGACCGGGACCAAAACTGGTATTCTCATATTGAAAGCTGCAACTTTCATTTACATTATAATTGAAAAAAAAACCGTCAATATGGGGCATGGGCCTAATGTACTACACCAATAATGTTCATGTACTGATTACTCAAGTTCACCCTCATTCCTCATTCCTCGATCAATGATCCCTCAAATTATTTAACAGTTTCATTCTCCAATTCCAATTGACAATTGGGCGTAGCCCGAGTTGAAAACTTGATGTTAGTTTGCACTTATGAGTTATGTAACGATATTAGTTACCTAAACTAGTAAACTTGTTTAGCAATTTTAAACATTGTTTTATTTGGCTCAGAGGTTGTTTAAAGATGAAATTCACAATGAATGAAAGTAAAAACTTAAAATCACAGTGAATGAAATTATGTAAAAGATCCCGGTCAAAATCCCGGCAAATTTGAGTGATTGACCGGGACCGGGACCGGGACTGGGACCAAGAATCCTGAATTAACCGGGACCGGGACCGGGACCGGGATCATAAATCAGCATTTGACCGGGACCGGGACCGCGACCGGGATGAAAAATTTGACTTGACCCGGTTGACCGGGACCGGGACCGGGACCGGGATAGCTGAAAATTGCCAATCCCGGTACCGGGATTCCCGGTACCGGGAATCCTGGTCACCTCCTGGATGGAGGGCTGGTTAAGCCAGGAAACATTTTCCACTTTGTCCACTAAGCTATCCGGAAACATTTGCAACCAAGTTATCCGGAAAAATTTGCCACTAAGTTATCCGACAACATTTGCCACTAAGTTATCCGGAAACATTTGCCATTAAGTTATCCGGAAACATTTGCCATTAAGTTATCCGGAAACATTTGCCATTAAGTTATCCTGAAACATTTGCTACCAAGTTATCCGGAAACATTTGCAACCAAGTTATCCGGAAACATTTGCCATTAAGTTATCCGGAAACATTTGCTACTAAGTTATCCGGAAATATTTGCAACCAAGTTATCCGGAAACATTTGCCACTAAGATGTCAGGAAACATTTGCCACTTTACTACACGGTAACACGTACAGTTAACTGTGTAGTGTTCAGAGAGTTCTTACGTCACCGCTATTATCTGGTTTATTGTGTTCTTGTGACACGTGCACGTCAGGTCGGGCGAGATAATGTTATCAGTTTTCAGCACCGTACATCACTGATATAATAATACATAATATTATATCATAACGCCTAGTATTATGTCTGATAATCGTGTATGATATAATATCCATTTGTTCCCACTTGATTTCTGTCTAATGTTCAGTTGATAATACCGATGAAAATGCAACAACGATTCAATATGTTGATATCATGTTAAAATATGTGAGTACGTTACGTTATGTTACGATAATATTTGAATAACAAATACTAAAACCACAGACACAGTCAGACAGTGGTAACGGGTACTACAACAGAAGGAGCTCAGCTACCCCTCTTGCTGTTATCCTGGCTCCAACCAGAGAACTAGCTCTCCAGATATACGAGGAAGCCAAAAAGGTTGGTTATTTGTTATTATCGGCCGTGTTATCTTATCAGGGGCTGATAAGATTCCGCAGTATTTGCAGAATGTTTTGTTTTTACAGAAAAGTTGCACTTGGTGAAGGGATTCACCAAAATTGGTGTTCTCAAATTTCTTTTTTATTGATAAGTTAATGAGAAACTCAGAAACTTCTTGCATGCCCGCAAAGAAATACATGTAGTCAGTAGTGGGATGCACTTAATTAATTAACCCCTTTGACATGTCCCTCCTACCTGAGCTGAGCTGTGTGACGTGTGTGTGCATTTTATACTAACCCCTCCCCCTCTAAACCCCCTCTAACCCCTCCTCCCCCTCTAAACCCCCTCTAACCCCTCCTCCCCCTCTAACCCCCCTCTAACCCCCCTCTAACCCCTCGTACTCCTTCCTCCCCCACTTCTCTAACCCCTCCTCCCCCTCTAACCCCTCCTCCCCCTCATCCCCCTCTAACCCCTCCTACCCCTCTAACCCCTCCTCCCCCTCTAACCCCTCCTCCCCCTCTAACCCCTCCTCCCCCTCATCCCCCACTAACCCCTCCTCCCCCTCTAACCCCTCCTACCCCTCTAACCCCTCCTCCCCCTCTAACCCCTCCTCCCCCACTAACCCCTCCTCCCCCTCTAACCCCACTTCTCTAACCCCTCCTCTCTCAGTTTTCGTACCGTTCCCACATGAGACCTGTGGTAGTGTACGGTGGAGCAGACATCTCAGGTCAGCTGCAGGAGCTGGGACGAGGTTGTGACGTGCTGGTAGCTACTCCTGGCAGACTTCAGGACATGCTGGAGCGACACAGGGTCGTGTTGGAGAAAGTGAGTGCTTTAGTTAATTGAGTAATTAGGTAATCAGTGGTGGATCTACCACTGGGAGTAATGTACCACTCTGGGATTGAGTTGCAATAATTATTGGATCCAATTTCATCGAGTTAGTCTATCTCTTATTCGCAACAACAATCATCAATGTAATATTTACTGAATATTATCAATAACGTTTCAATGATTTAATCCGTTTAATCACCCCTAATTACCCCTAATCATCCCTAATTACACCCAGGTCCGGTTTGTTGTCCTTGACGAGGCTGACAGGATGTTGGACATGGGTTTCGAGCCTCAGATCAGAAACATAGTTGAACAGCGCGGTATGCCCGGTGTTGGTGTCAGGCAAACTCTCATGTTCAGTGCTACTTTCCCTAAGGAGATTCAGGTTTGTTTGTTTGTTTGTACGTTAGGTTTTGTGTATGTTTCGTGTTTGTTTGCTTCGTGTTTTTCGTGATATTGTGTTTGTTAGCGTGTGTATAGATTTGTATTAGATTTTAGTTTATGATGTCATAAATTACTGACTGTTTGTTTTCTGAAGAGTATGTTAGTGATATGTCACGTGTTCGTTACACACCTGTTACTCTATAATGTGTGTACTTGTACACCTGTCTCTAGATGGAACCTACGTGACATTTCACTTCACGTCGTTACAGAAGATAGAATTTAACATGGTTACATACCAAAGGTACATACCGTATAGTACATAGTTACATACCATATAGGTACGTACATGCGGTTAACTAATCGTGGAAGAACCGTGTGATCGGTATATATATATTCTTGATATTTATTGAAAAGTAGTGTGACGGTGATTTATAAGTTGGCGGAAATGTAACATAATATCAACCTGATAAAAGTAGATTTAGTATGTATGTAATGTGTGCGTGTGTCTTGAAGATCGTATGATTAAATATTATATGAATTCTTTCGTATTTTTTATTCTGTAAACTCTGAATTTATAATTGGTGCACAAAATGATAAATATTCAGAATTTATGATATTTCCTGGGATTTAATTTTGATAATATAATATTTACATTATCTTTGATATAATTCACTGCATTATATACTAGAAATTATAAATTATAAAGATGTTTACTGAAATAAGAAATTATAAAATTATTCAAACAATACATATATATAATATACACATAATGTGTATAATTTATATGATACATAGGTCATCGGATCCTTATTTTACCACCCTTGATCGTTTAGCCTTTTATTTGCGCATGCGATCTTCAAATATATTAAAGTAAGAACGTTCGCGTTATGCGTAAGGAATCTGAAGATATTAATTTGCTAAAATACCTGCGGATCTAATATTGTACGGCTACCTTCAGGCATATTCCCTAATAGATATTTGTAGCGTTGTGGCATTTATTTCATGTCTTTACCTCATAACGCTCAAAAATTGAAAATATCTCTTTTTAATATCAATTTGAGCTTCTTTCACTCGAAATGATGTATCTGTCCTGTCTGCATTATTGTGACGTGTTCGTATAAGCCTCTAAAATAACAACGTGAACAATAACCATACACCATGACATGTTTTACATGTGTTACCGTTCTTATTATTGCGGCGCGGATACTTAGTTTGGGATCGTTCAAATTTTAAGGGGCAGTAAAACTAGCGGGTTGCGATGAATGGGAACTTGCCACTCCATGGAAAATATATTGGCTCTGTTACATCGCTTTATGTTAATATAAAACTCCGTGACTTTAAAGGAATTGAGATCTGACAACGCTACACCTCAGATTAATGAAAAGCAATGATAAAGTACTATATACATGTAGTATAACCAAACACTTGCAAATGTAAAATATGATATAATCTACTATAGCATGCAAGATGAGCTGAAAACTCAAATACGACAACTAAATACGCTATACATGCGTGTCTTTCATGTTAAAGTAGCTAACAAAATTTAAGTAATCATAAACTTCACAACTATCTCCGTGCTACCACGGTATTACAAAATCTGAAAATGGGGGTAAAATGTGAACATTAAAGGCTTGCATTGAAGCATTGAATTGAAAGCTCTTGCTACTATTAACTTTGACGTATATGTTTCAAGAACCCACCTCCAAGCCTTGGATAGTTTGTATGCAGAAGAATATAGTGATCTTTGGACATATCCCCTGACTTTGCTTTAAGATAACCACATATTGACATATTATCACAATATGTGATTATCTTATACTAAGTCTGAGATTACTCTCATAATATACATAATATTGTGGGAGTATAGAACTATTCCATCCTATAAAAGTAGAGTTCTAGCTTTAGGAAAAAAACACCTAACAACGAGTTAAAATATAGTGAGTTGTTGTTCTTTTAAGACAAAATTATCATCAAAAAGGATTGAAATATTTGTAAAGAAAAATATTGATCCACTGACCGATCGTTCCATGTCAACTCATACTCACAGTCTCAATTGCATGCTTCAGACATTTTCAAGTAAATATTTCAACTATTTCACATTGTAAATATTTCAGATGCTAGCTCGAGATTTCCTGGACAACTACATTTTCTTGGCTGTTGGCCGAGTTGGCTCTACCAGTGAGAACATCACCCAAAAGATTGTCTGGGTTGAGGACAAAGATAAGAGATCTTTCCTCCTTGACCTCCTGAACGCTGTTGGTAAGTCGCCAGTTGGTAAGTACTTTGAGATACTTGGATTATTATTTTCCCTAACAAACCTTACTGTTATAAAATAGCGTGTAAAAGTCATCCCCTGACTTTATCACGGGTGTGGCCTCTTGGTCACTAAATTCTGCTTTCTATATGCTGTTTAATACGATTAAGTGCCTAACTAAGTAAGCTTAATCTCTCATTACATAAGGTGTGTTTATTTCCGTTAAAATGACTCCAACTTGATAAAGATGTGACGTCAGATAAAATCTGCTGATATCATAATGTGTGATATTTCCGCGGTGAGATTTCTCTGGTGATTTTTCTCCAGCTAGTGAATGATGGCGAGATCACCGAACCTCTAGAAATCATATTTTGCTGCAAATCTATTGGAAGTCAAGCTCCATTGCATTGATTTTTCAAATTATATCCATAGTCCAATAAAATTTTGGGCTAGAAGGCAGTCAAAAATAGCAGTGCGTGAGTAAAAACCGTCAGCACTCTACAAAAAGATAGCGCAAAACTGTAAAAAGTACACAACCGTTAGAAATTTTGTGCGCGGCTTTTTCGCATTCGTCACTGATCATCTGACACGGTTTGGCGTCATGTCGTGTGTTTTTTACCCTCCATGTTTTCTTAATTTTCTCTACGAAAAACAATGCTACAATAATCTTGTTTCTATTGATTGGGCTATAATTGATGGACCTTACATTAAGCTTCAGTGTAACCCACTCTGTGGAAATGTACTTCCAGCAGGAAACACTAAAATTGGAGTAAGTTCGATTAGTTGGGTGACACGTCAATTTATCTTACGTGTTCCCTTTGTTCAGGACCCGAGTGTTTGACATTAGTGTTTGTTGAGACGAAGAAGGGTGCTGATTCCCTTGAATGGTTCTTGTGTCAGGTATGCTATCATTTCCGCTGTAAACTGCTTATATTGTAACAACAGCCAGCATGCTCATTGTTTAGTAATTTTATTTATTCAAACTGGGCCGACCTGGATCACGCTATCAGCATACAATCAAAGTCACATCGTTAAATCCAATTTCTCAGCGTTTTATCCAATCGGTACAATTACCAACTTTTTTACCCACACCGGAAATTACTAACATTATATTTGTCAGGAAAATTATCCAGCAGCCTCTATCCACGGGGACAGGACTCAATCTGAGAGAGAAGCAGCTCTTCACGCCTTTAAGAGTGGTAACAACCCAATTCTCGTGGCTACTGCGGTAAGAGAATTGACAATATATTCCAAATCTGTTCTGATCCAATGAAGTCACGACTAAACCTTACTTTACCATGCTTCTTGCAACCATACGACATCTCTCGTGTTGACGGTTCCATCGCTTAGCCACACTATACAGCTCATAATGTATTTAACGTAAGCTCTGGCCACACCCCAAATCTTACATAGAAGTGGTTGAGAGTAACATTTTATTGGATACAGGTGGCTGCCAGAGGTTTGGACATTCCCAACGTAAAGCATGTTATCAACTACGATATGCCCTCTGACATCGATGAATATGTCCATCGTATTGGTAGAACTGGTATGTACTAGCTAATTTGGTATTTGTATTTTAAGTGTAATCACGTATCTTTGGAAATTTGAAAAAGGTTTAGACTTAAAAAACATCTCATGAAACTAACTCTGATATTAATTTGCAGTGAACCAAATTCCATAAAATGTAAGCTAATTCCCCCCATTTCTCTAAAGGTCGAGTGGGTAACCTGGGTCTTGCGACGTCTTTCTTCAACGAGAAGAACATGAACATAGCACGTGATCTGATGCAGATACTCACGGAATGTGACCAGGAGATGCCCAGCTGGATGGACGGGGTGGCAAGAGAACATTCCAACCGAAAGTCGCACAGAAAGTTAGTTTCGTTTTACTGACGATTATTGTTCAGCGAGTAGATTAAATATAGGCAAAACTTAGTGAGGGGAATGCAAGCATCATTCGTTCTTTGTAATTCTCAAACATTTCATAATTTCAGGACATCCAACTTTGGCGGACGTGATTACCGTTACAATAGCCGGAACAACAACGACCATGGCGGCCACGGAGGTGGTGGTGGTGGTGGTGGAGGCGGCGGTGGCGGCGGCGGTAGCGATCGTGGTCATGGTGGAGGTGGAGGAGGACACGGTGGTGGAGGACACGGTGGTGGAGGCCAGGGACACGGTGGTGGTGGCGGCGGAGGCGGTGGTGGAGGCCGAAGTAATTACGGCAACAGCAACAACAACAGTGGAGGATATTCGTCGAACTACTCCGCGAATGCCGGTAAGTTGTCATTTCCCCGTCGTGCGATCCCAAAGTCCAAACTATTCCCGCAACTCCCAGTTTCGTACACTTGACTTAACTGACTTAAGGCGGGTAGTATTCCCGAGATCCATTGACAACAGTTCTCCACAGCTTTCTGTCCTCCATCAGTCTAGCTATCTCATCTACTGATTTCAGCCCAGTATCTGCTTTTAGGTTATCTAGTAGTGTTAAGTAAGGTCGCCCCCTGTTAGTATGCCCATGACTTGGCTTCCAGAGGATCAGTTTGTTCAGTGTCAGCCCCGGATGTCGGTGAGCATGACCTGCAAGTCTGAGCCTTCGTTGGGTTATCTTGGAGCTGACTTTGGGAAGATCACCGTACAGGCTGTGGTTGCTGACATGGTCACGATATTGATTGATGTTAAGGGCCATTCTTAACATTCGTGTATAGCAACCATCAACCATCTTCTCTAGCCTTTTCGTCATAGTCCAAGTCTCAGAACCGTATAGAAGCACCGACTTGACTAGTGCTGTGAACACTCTGGTCTTGATAGACTTTCTAAGGTTAGATTTCCAAAGTTTTTTGAGAGTGTGGCATGCTCCCCATGTTCTTCCTTTCCTAACCCTGATATCACTCTCACTGTCTCTGATTCTAGAACCAAGATAGGTAAAGTCTTCCACGTGCTCGTACAGCAACTAGACAACTCGTACAATTTAACTTGTCCCAAGCATCTAGATTCTCAGTTCGCCCAGTTTCCTAATTATATAGATTATCGGGTCCTACTAATTTCAAGAAAAATTTGATCTTTACTACTAAAGGGGGGGGGGGGGGGGTAATGACTACTTTTGGGGACTTGGGGAATTACGTCAACGATTTTACCCCGAGTCCCCATGATTTTTAGTCCCCATTAGTCTCCATTAGTCCCCATTTAGATGATTTTTAGTCCCCATTAGTCCCCAAAAGTCTCCATTAGTCCCCATTTAGATTTATCCTACTCTTATCTTGGACAAAACATCTCGATCGTATCGTTATTAAACTAACTTGAAAACCATAAATAACTGTCAAAAATTCTGGGGACTTATGGGGACAAATGGTGAATTACGTCAACGAGTTGACCTCTAGTCCCCACGATTTTTAGTCCCCATTAGTCCCCAAAAGTCTCCATTGGTAGTCATTTCCCTTCCCCCCCCCCCCCCCCTACTAAAGTCAACGAACTCATAAGTAATATACCTTTAATCTAGCAAGTTAATTAGCTATTTAATTTAAAATAGGTTAACATTTAAAATAAACCCCACTTTTACCAGCTCTATCCCTCTCAGGACCCAACGCTACTTCTTGGTGGGACGACTAACTCGACAGTCTACTAACTGTTCTCGTGACGTCACGACGACGTCACCTTTTGCGGTGACGTCACTGTCTGCTCTGATGACGTCACTGTTTTGCTGTGATGACGTCATGCTGTTATCTTGACGTTGTCACTCTCAAATGTCCCCTTTTAAAGACACTAGGTGTAGCATCTGGCCCTCTTACTTCGAGCTATATGAGGCCGCACGTGCGAGAGGTGACATCCTCTCAGAGACATTGTCACAACGTCACGTGTCCGAATGTCACGTGTCAGAGCCCGAACCCTGCTCTGTGCAGTGTCTCCACGGCGGTCTTCTTTATTGTTAGAGTTTACTGTTCCCCGGGCAGGAGAATAGTTTCCTAAGTTTTTTAGTGAGGTGATGGGAGGAAAATAACTCAGTAACTGCAGTTAACTAACTAATTAACTAATTAACTGATTAACAACAGATACCTCGGTGCTCCACAGTACGATAAGATACAGAACATTAACTGAGTTTTCCCCCTTCACCTCCTCAAAACTTAAATTTCTTTATCCTACTCTATCTGCCCCGACTAAACGGAAGATGACGTCATCACACGTGATATGACGTCACAGCACGTGATTTGCGTGTGCCTGTCATCAGCCGTTTTAGTTACCGTTGGTGCGGTTTAGGATACAAATTTATTCAATTGTGGTGTGTTTCTTACCATATTTTAATATCAGTTATTTTGTGCCGGGATATTAATCCGTGTCCTGATATAACATCAAGATGGTATCTAGTTCTTTTCACCAAGATATACTATATTTCTCACAATGCATGTATGTCGTTCCTCTCCACCCCTTACAAGCTAAATGTTTCTATCCTTATCACAGAGTTCGTTGATAGGTTACAGTTATAGGCCGTAAAAATATCAGATTTAAGAAAGTTATATTATGAGTCGGCATCACAAACTTAAATGTATAGTAGCCTTGGCATTCACATCTCACAGTAAGTTAGTTACAGCCAATTTCAAATCAATAAATAGTTGTTTCTTAACCATTGCACAACCTACTTTATAGTTTCCACTTGATAACTTCTACAACAAAGGTTGTGTTGCATACCAGCCGATTGAAACTGGTTGTACCGCGGGCACACACACTTATATATTGGTTTTATTATAGTAATAACGTTATGGTGGTAATATCATTTACAAAATTGTTTATTTTCCAGGGGGCGTTGTCCACGTGTTATTTAATAGTGTTTCCTTTTTTCGTGATGGTTTGATTTTTCGAGTCAACTATAAATCTTAAAGTTAAAGACTACTGGTTTGCTGCCATGGTAGCCTGTTGTTGGTAACTTGTTGTTAGTAACTTGTTGTCATGGTTACGATGAATAAGCTGACTACTAGGTAGTCCCCATGTGCTTAATTTAATATATCTGGTAGTTTTAGTCGACTATTAGCTGTTAAGAAATTGATGTTTTAAATTTAAATTTGATTTTATTGAAAGTGAAACCGCATAGATGTTCTCGATCGGTCGGAATATTGGTGATAATTACCGCCCCCCAGTGGTTTAAATTGTATCGTTGATTTCAATTTTAGGGAGTTGAAAACATTATATTATTATAATTTGTTATAATATTAAAAGCTATCTCTAATGTAATACAGGTATTACTATATAGCGTTTACAGAAAAAAGTGTTATAGTGTTATAGATGTTATTTTTTTAAATATGTAAATAGAACACACCACAATTTTTATGACCCGAAAATGAAGGCTCTCCCCTGGCAAGATTGGTCTGATTCTCCGAAATCGCACAACCAATTTCCCACCTGTTGGTATAATCTGCCAGAGAACGAGAGCTCTGATCGTACGAAGTTTTACGTTCGGGTGTTAGTTATGATCATGGGCCCACAAAACGGTGGTTGCAGCCTGAAAACTCGAACCACCCACTTGTACGCTACCATGATGATGTTGTAATATTTCGGGCTTTCTCTTCTGCCCGGAAATCTACCTGATTAATAATTCTAGGTCCTGAGCTCCTTGTCCGAGAGTGTTGCAAATTACAGTGTAATTTGTACAGATAACGACCCAGTGATTTCTACATCCCGTAGATGAAAAAATCATCAGCTGTATATCTCTCGGGTACTGGGGGTTTTGGGCACTGTTTCATTGGCTACTGTTATTTATGTATATAGATTGCTATACCTATTTGTGCTAAATTGTTTAATGTAGATAAGAGCGTTTTACTTGTTCTACACGCATTTATCGTATATTTATAGCGCACGTCTACTGATTGGCAGTTCTGATAACACACCGGTTACCTCATTGCTCATATCCGTATTATACCAAACGGTTGCAAGATATTGCGCGGCCGAACACTGGAACTGCCACTCATCTGCATCAGCCATCTATGACTATATCATTGGACGATATTTGACATTCCTTATCTGGACTGACAATTATGGACAGAAAGATTTGTTCGAACTTATATGATAGTAACCGACATAATGTTAACGCTGAGCTGAAAATTGGTGACATATGATCATGAATAATATTGATACATGTTTCGTATCCCGCCTTCGGCGGCGCGCGCTTCGCGCGCGAAAAGTGGCATGCAACGTATGTCAAGAATAATACGTAATAAAGTTTATTGCCTGGGACCCCGCAATTTAATTTTTATAATGTTCATAAACATATGTTTAAACATTACCTGGGGACCTCAGGCTATCATGTTCATAAACATAGAGATTCGGCGGAATGACAGGCTGAGCGCGGCCCAGTATAATAGTAAGTTCAAACACTGAATGTTTCAAATGAAGTTTTAGGGAAAATTGAAGGACGCAGTTATTTAAGCAATAGTAAGGCCGAGAGACAAAATGAATATTTTTGGTTTCATCCTTATGTGTTAAAAAAGCGTTTTGTAAATACTTATTCCACTGGGAAGTTTTAATGAATTATTTATATATAATGTATTGGATTTTACTAATTAATAAAATTGAATTCGATAAATTATTGTAGCGCGATGCGTTACTGTGCCGCGCCGCGCATGGCGCAATCAATGCGCTACTGTGCCTTTGTCATTTGTAGGTTTACAACCTACCAGGACGCGCGCCGAGTTGGACTCGTCGACGGTCCTAATATATATATCAGATATTATACGAGAATCACCCGTTAACTGTGTCTCGCCGAGCTGCGATGAATTGACATCGTCAATTAAAGAAATTATTAATGTCGATGGAAAAAAGATATTCATTTCAATTATTTTTCTATTTAGTGCAATGATATGTTGTTGACACTTGTAATGGTGTTATGTCATAATTTTTACTTGTAGCGCGATGCACTACTTATACTGGGCCGCGCCGCGCATCCAATATAATGCCTCTCGCAACCACAAATCTTGACCATTGTTAATGATCTGGCCCGGCGCGCGCTACTTCGTAGCTCTTGCCATCGGGCAAGAAAGCGGCGCGCGCTACTTCGAAGAAATTTAGACGAGTAACATCCGTCAACCACAAATCAAAATAGGCGAGATGCGAAGGATTGACATCATGAATCAAAATTTTTACTTACTTACTTACTTACTTACTTACTTACTTACTTACTTACTTACTTACTTACTTACTTACTTACTTACTTACTTACTTACTTACTTACTTACTTACTTACTTACTTACTTACTTACTTACTTGACGGATGTTTGTATCACGTTGCGACCCCCACGGTCGTTTCACTTTGGTGAAACGACCGTTCTGACGATACAGGGGGAGCCGCGCACTTCGTGCGCGGCGGGTCATACAACGAATGACAAACGGATGTTACTCGTCTAAATTTCTTCGAAGTAGCGCGCACCGCTTTCTTCTCGAAAGTAGCGCGCGCCGGGCCAGACCATTAACAATGGTCAATTACTTACTGAATAAAGAAATTCGGCGGAATGACATGCCCAATAATGAGTAAACATTAAAAAACTCAGAATAAATTTAACTTTCATTTTTATTTTTATATATCTTGCAGAGATATATAAAAGCATGTGCATGGATGGCGAACAATTTCATGAGACTGAACGAAACGATGACAAAACGAAGACAAAACGAAGACAAAACTACTGGTGTTAGGAAAGAGCCATGTTCTAAAAAAGTGTGAACTCAGTGTCAGACTGGAATTTGGAAACACTAAAATTCTACCTACGGAGTGCAAAGGAGACAGCTGAAAGAGTCTAGGTAAGGTGTTAAATTTGATAAAACTTTAAATATAGAAAGACAAATCAATAGTACGAAAAGGAAATGTAGCTGGACAATGATGAACCTAAGAACAACGAACTATTGGCAATTGGTTGTTACCTGGATGAAGGCATTAAACTGATGTTGGCGAAACAACTGGTTATATTTAAGTTAGATTACTGTAATTTGCTGTACATGAATCTACCCAAGACCACATCAAACAAACTAAGATCAATCCTTAATGGGGCAGTTCGTTTCACTATAACATAGAAGATAGAACCACGGACTTGGTCCCCTTCTATAAAAAGACCCACATACCAGTGGCGTAACGTTGCCTGTTGGCGCCCCCCTGCCGAAAAAAGCGCCCCCCCTGTTGGCGCCCCCTCCCCTTTTGGTGCCCCTCCCTAAAATTGAACAAATTAGGTGATTTTAGAGAATACGCCGGTAAAATCTCTAAAAAAGTGTGTATCTAGAGCAAAACGCGCAGTTTTGCTAGTACTTTAGTTAAGTTTTCGAAATGGTCCCACATTCAAACGACGATTTGGCGCCCCCCTAAGACGGCGCCCCCCTGCACAGCGGGGTCAGCAGGGCCTTTCGTTACGCCACTGCCACATACTCCCTATGGACCAGCGAATCTTCTTTAAAGTTTGTCTACTAACCCACAAATAAGTTCACGGTACTGCCCCTGGTTACCTCAAAGCATTACTGGATGTGGATGTAGTGGCTACTGAACTCTCAAACACCGTGACCAGGTCAAAGAGACCGGATGACCATCTCATGCTCAAGATACCAAAGAATAAAAAGTCCAAAGTTTATGACAGACGTTTCTCAAGCCATGCACTGGTTGCATGGAACTCTCTTCCAGTGATGTTGAGACGTAATTACTGATACAAACTTTTTCGAATGTTAAAGAAGGCCAAGAGTGCTGGGGATGTTGGCAAAACAAAGGATCTATTGGGGCACCTTGGAGTTGAGATAACAATTGTTGGTCTTGTGGTGGTGTTAGCTTACACTATTTGTAATCAGAAACTGTCGCTTATTCTTTCTTGGAGGCTGACCGCCATGAAAGGATTATGGGAATTATGTGAACGAAAATAGTCAAATATCATTTTTATATAAAGGATTAGAGCCTAGTATAGAGGTAAATTTTAAGTCAATAGCTTGTCGCGTGTGAAGCTCATCTCTCTTGAAGCCAACATACATGCTACTTGTACAACAACGTGTCCGTACCACCGCAGTCTGGCAGATCCAATATTGGTCTCGATAAACTTAACACCAGTACACCTGTGAACTTCATCATTGGAGACATGGTAGAACCACTTTGTGTTCAGGATTCTTCTCAGGGAGGTCTGATGGAAAACGACAACATGCTCCCTCTGCTTCTTGGAACTATGTTCCAGACTTCAGGATTGTGAGATCAGCAGCTCCAGAGGTGCGGATTTTGGTAAGTGTTTTTATAATTTTGCTGTTCCAGATCTCGTTCAATGCAAAATTGACTTATTGAATTCCTAGCTCAGGGACAGGAGTGGCTACCTTCGGGTAGTGTCGGAGAAGAAGAAGAAGAAGAAGAAGAACTCACCACATCATTTACCCTGAGCAGACAGTTCGATTGGTTAAAGTCTGATAAAAAGTTCAACTCAAGTTGATGTTCCTGCGGTTCAAACCCAAATGTTCCGGTAGCGTGGCTTTGGGAAATGACCATTTGCCACCATGGAGGGGACTCCATGGGGTCATTTAGCTATTTGAAAAACAACTATGATGAATTTAAACAGCACTAGGGTTAAAACACGAATCTTGTGGAGGGTCGGCAGTTTTATGACTTGGTTGGCTTAAAACCCAATCTGGGAGGGCCAGGCGATGATGTACTGTCGTACCCAACACAACACAACAGGATAAGTACAGAACCGGAAAAGAAGAGCAGTAATAGTGGCAGCGTTGTGTCGTGTAGTAGGAAAACGTTCATCGGGACACTGAACGTTCGTACTGTTAGGGAACAGTATAAGAGGATAGAGTTAGCATCGCTCTTCCTTGAGAGTAGAGTTGCAGTTTTAGGGGTACAAGAGCACCGGATGGTGCATGAGGAGGAGATCAAGATCCAGAGTTTTGAGAAGGGTGTGCACCTGGTGACCACACCTGCTTGGAGAAACACCCGACAAGCTGCTACTGGTGGAGTTGGGTTTATGCTGACCAAGCAGGCCTACAAAGCAGTGAGTCTCATGAAATCGTTTGGGAAGCGAATTTTTCTCATATCCTTTGATGGAAACCCACGGCTTACAGTAATAACGGTGTACAGTCCCACTGAAGCAGCATCAAATGAAGAGGCAGAGGACTTTCACGAGGGACTAAGATCTGCATTAGGAGAGGTACCAGCCCATCATCTGCTAATGGTTGTTGGTGATCTTAACGCCCATTTTAGCAGATTAAATGAGGAGGATTCAGGTTGGTACTGGCATCGAGTATCCAACAGAAACGGATCGCTTCTCAGGGATACTTTGTTGGAGGGAAACCTTGAGGCAACTAACCACCGATTCCAGAAACGTCCCTGTAAACTATGGACGTATCTCTCTGACGGAACACTGAGCAAGAGTCAGATTGATTACATCCTGATAAGGAAGAAGTGGCGTAACTCAGTCAAGGACACTGTTGTGTCCAATTCTTTTAACTCTCTTGGGTCGGACCACCGTCTAGTAGTTAGTTCAGTCAAACTCATCCTGCGAAAGTGCCAGAATGCACCTAGAGTAGTAAGATATGACTACAGACTGCTCAAAGAGAATAAGGAGTTGCAAGCCTTGTATTCTGTGGAGGTGAAAAACAGATTCTCTATGCTACTGGAGGAAAAATCTAGTGAGCAGAACAATCCCACGATTCAGTACGGAAAGCTTATGGATGCCGTGAAAGCAACCAATCATAAGTTGCTTAAGCCCATCCCAAGAAGACAACGTAACAACCCCTCCCAAGATCCTAGGGTATCGGAGAGGAGGAGAACTCTGTTTCAGGCCAAAGACGCATATCATGAGAATCCTACAGAGGAGAGTAGAGAGGTAGTTAAGGAGTGTAAGGATGCACTTGCAGTGAGCTACAAAGAGGTTGAGGAGGAGACTCTTGTTTCTAGGATCAGGCGGGCTGAGGATGCTGCTGGCAGGTGCAAGAATAAGGAAAGCTGGGACCTTATTAATGACATAAATGGCAGGAAAAGCAAGCCATGCAGCCTGGTTGATGGAGGTAGTGCAGAGGGGAGATTGAAGAGCTGGAAGGACCACTTCACTAAGCTCCTGGGTCAACCACCATCTGTACCTGACCAGAAAATAGTTATCCAAACCATCCACCCCCAGCAGGATATAGAGACTGGTCTGTTTTGCAGGGAGGAGTTAGCGGAGGCGAGGAAACAGATCAAGGAGGGTAAGGCCTATGGTGATGATGGCATAGCTCCAGAGATTCTCAAAAGAGTGGACATGGACGACCTGATTCTAGAGTTCTGTAACAGCGCTCTGGTTGATGGAGAAATCCCCGATCAATGGCGGCAACTCAACATCGTGCCTGTGCCAAAGAAAGGAAATCTAACTAAAGTGGATAACTACAGAGGAATCGCTCTTACGTCCATTGTTAGTAAGACCCTGAATCGTATGATCCTTAACAGAATCAAACCAGCGATGGAGAAAATCCTGAGGATCAACCAAAACGGATTTCGGGAGGGACGCAGTACCACCAGCCACATTCTGTGTCTAAGGAGGATCTTGGAGGGGGCTAGAGACAAAAACCTGACCGCCCTTCTCTTGTTCATCGATTTTAAGAAGGCCTTTGATAGCATTCATAGGGGTATATTGATGAAGATACTCCTGGCATATGGGATACCAGAGCCCATTGTTAGGCTGATAGATGCTATGTACAAGGACACCATGGCACGAGTCATCACGGAGGATGGTCTGACTGAAGCTTTCCTTATACTTGCTGGAGTTATGCAGGGAGATACACTGGCGCCCTACCTCTACGTGATTGTCATTGACTATGTGATGACAACAGCACTTAGAGGCAAAGATCTGGGCTTCACAGTCAACCCCAGAAGAAGCAGGAGATACCCAGCAGTTAAGATGACAGATGTCGACTTTGCTGACGATCTTGCACTGACAACAGACACCGCAGAGCAAGCGCAAGATCTTCTCCTCAGTGTGGAGCTGGCTGCCAACTCCGTTGGACTTCACCTCAACGAGAATAAGACGAAGTACATCAGTGTCAATCTCTCTGAGTCTGACTCTACCGTCATTAAAGCAGCAAGTGGGCAGGAGATAGAGCAAGTAGATGACTTTGTCTACCTTGGAAGCAGAATAATGAGTGCGGAGAAGGACTTTGATGTTAGGAAAGCAAAGGCATGGGGGGCCTGTCATCAGTTAAAGACAACCTGGAAGTCTGGAATGCGCAGGGACTTAAAGATCCGTGTCTTTCGAGCAACGGTTGAGCCCGTACTCCTGTACGGCTCTGAAGCTTGGACGATAAGCCAATCCATGACTAATCGGATCAATGGATGCTACACTAGAATGCTCCGGATGGCCTTGAACATACGTTGGCCACAAATCATCAACAACAGTGATTTATACGGCAACATCCCCAAGCCATCAGCGATGATAGCCTCCAGAAGAATGAGACTGGCTGGACATGTAGCCAGGCATGACGACCTTCTGGCAAACCAACTTCTGTTCTGGGACCCTCAGCATGGATACAGGAGACCGGGGAGGCCCCACCTTACGTTTCTGGACATGCTAAAGAAGGACACCAGTCTTTCCTGTGTTGAAGAGATAAGATCTGTTATGCTTGACCGCGACGTGTGGCGAGGAATTGTAGTTGCTCGGACCAAGAAGCCGACTTAAGTCAGTCAGTAAGTCAGAATTCTGTATAATAGGGTGGCCCATGTTATTGGAATAAAACGACTTGATGATGATAAACAATCTGAAAGGAAAATATATCAAACATATAAAACATATAAATCATATAAATGAATCCATAACAATTAGCAGGGTGAAATCAAACGAACGAAAAGGTGTGAGTAAACAATTAAATACTTAAACTCACAAACTTACCACTGGGTAGATCTCATAAACATTGCTAAAATATAAACAGATTAGATAATTGAAATAATAAGAACTATTTCAATATAACAATCTCCCGCCAAACAAAAGCCAAATATAAAAAATTGTCTACCCAGTCAAATGCTACAAAAACTACATAGCTTCATGTACCCAGAGGAACAGTGATTGTTTAAATTAAAACTTTAGAGTTTTCCCATGAATAAAATATTAAAATACTAATCATGCACAAACAACACACTTACAAGTTGGAAACAACTTGTTTAAAATAAATTAAAAACTTAAGGTTTTACATTGAATTACAAATGAGCTACTCAAAGTACAACTTTTAAAAGAACAATTCAATTCACCGGATACAACAGTTTTCATCTAAAATTCAGTTTATATTGAAACACATCTGTACACTTTATGTAAACCCAAAATATATACTTTAAGTGGAAATCAACAATCTCCTCACAACCAGTCCTCTAAAACAAACCTCACTACTAGTCCATAATTCCCACCTCAAAAAAAATGGAGCCCACACAAATTAAACACAGTGCTTCAACACAACAGAACCAAACTTCTCCTGCAATCCAGTGAAGTGTCTGAACAGAAACAAAAGAGACTTTTCGAAGACTGATGAAGGAGTTCTTTTCTACAGCTGGATGTTAAACTCTCCTGTGGTGAGGACATGAATCAATGACTCATTTGGAGCAGTAGTCTTGGTCAGACAATCAGTAACTTTTTCCCACAGGTTAACAAGTAATTTCCATCGCGTATAGTTTGATCCATCAAACTTTGGCGTTGCATACTTCCGAGACATGGTGACAGTTCGTTTCTCTCCAACTCCGTTCTGCTACCAATGTTATTGGAATAAAACGACTTGATGATGATAAACAATCTGAAAGGAAAATATATCAAACACATAAAACATATAAATCATATAAATGAATCCATAACAATTAGCAGGGTGAAATCAAACGAACGAAAAGGTGTGAGTAAACAATTAAATACTTAAACTCACAAACTTACCACTGGGTAGATCTCATAAACATTGCTAAAATATAAACAGATTAGATAATTGAAATAATAAGAACTATTTCAATATAACAGCCCATAAGTGACTACCCACACGCAACCTCTTAATAACTCACGTAATTCGTCTCCAAATTGCACCAAAATTTCAGAGATTATAGATATGGGTCAAACTTAGATGTCCTGAAAGTTTCGTAAGCCACGCCCAATAACTGTGGGCGTGGCGTGACACTCCCTCTTTTTCACTATTGTCTTCATAAAATGAGAACGCTTTAAGCTAAGAACTCCAAATTTTTTGCACACATTTGGCTTGATAATTGAAAACCTTTCCCAAAGTTTCAAGTTCATTGGTTAAAATATGGCTAAGTTATGACCATTTCAAAACTCATCGGATACGTGATCCGAGCACTCAGTCAGTGATCTCGTCACTTGGTTAATGGCCCACTGTAATTGGGCGTGGCTTACGAAACTTTCAGGAAATCTAAGTTTGACCCATATCTATAATCTCTGAAATTTTGGTGCAATTACGTGAGTTATTAAGAGGTTGCGTGTGGGTAGTCACTTATGGGCCACCCTATTATTATCTATATATTTTGTATACTTGAAACATTATGTTCCGTTGATTGCATAGTGGTTAATACATATTTTAAAAATTCAATAAATCAGATAATGCTTCAATCTAATCAAATTTTTAATTTTGTATTAGCATCAAAGTTGCTGCTGCCTGCTTGCACTATATAATAATCAAATTTATAATATAAGTTGTATTTATATATTGGTTGCAATTTATGATATAAGTTGCATCTTCAAAATTTGCTGTCATATATTATCTTTAACTCTCAGTTCACTAATGATTCACTCAAATATGTACATAAATAACAAACAGGACAGGTAACTAGACCAAAATATTATTAAAATTGATTTTATTGCAAATAAAATGAACCATTTGTTTTCCTTAAACCATCTGCTCTACACAAAGCAGTGTCCTAACAACTAGACAATAGTAGTAACTTGGCTAAGTGGACCACACAAAACGCAAAATCATAAAACTATCAATGTTAACTGTTGACTGCTAAAAAACGTCTTCCACATTGTCCCTGTCTATTCACAGTTCTTTTATTCAAATTTCTGATTGTTTCTGAATAGACTCAGTGACTGAGTCTATTTAGAAACAATCAGAAATTTGAATAAAAGAACTATCAAATCATGAGACTCAATAACACTACACGAATCCACCAGATTGTCTATTCACAGTTTATTCGATGAGATCAAAATATGACATGAAAAGGAGGAAAATGCTTTTACTCCAGTATGAGAAGAGAGCCTTTGATCCACTTATATTTCCACAATATCTTGAGGAATGTTATGAAACCCCTGTGTTTGATAATACATAGTTGGACAAATCTCAGACTCAGGTCAAGAAGCACATCAGAACTTGATTCAGTTTTGACTTGTTTATTTATTTATTACTTATTATAGTACATTGTTATAAGTATATATACTTAGAATGTGATCTGTACAGAATGTCATCGTTAGTTGCTTTATGTCCCCAATTTTAATAACTTTTAAAACTAGAAGAGTGAAAGCAAGGCATGGGATTAGGTACTTGGATTTTGTTTTATTTTGATTACACCCTAAAGATTTGTCATTTGTGCAATGAAACTCTGTACAATGAATGTAAGAAGTAATGAAAGTGGGACACAAGTTATATTTGCACATATTGTAATGTTCGTAAACTACAAATTAAGAAGTTAATTTCATGCTCAAAATCTTCACTCATGATCTAATTTTCATTATTTTAGAGTAGACAAAATTTGCTTTATTTTTGTGCTGGTTATCTACAATAAGTTACTGGAAATCACACCCACTAGCACCTTCTCTTACGAAAAGTCTAAAATTGGTCAATCTCAAAGTAATATATCCTACTGAATTTTGGCTGTTGTTTGGCTAAGTCAGGCTAAAATAATTTATTTTGTACTAAATGGTAGATGTGTGGAATACAACAAGTTTACACTTCACACTACTTAATAAAAGTACATAAAATCACTTGACTTTATTTTCAAAATGTTTAAAAATCATGTTATTCAAATCATCAAATTTTCTTTACCAATATCATCATGAATATGATCCACCATTAATTTTTTTAGTCTCACAATGTTCAGAGAATATATTTATAATGTTATTAACAATATGTGTCTTAGTTTGCTCTTGCAGCAACCTCATAATGCTTGTTCAAGCAATTCATCATAACAGTCAAAATCCTCCAACAGCTCAAGCAGGCAATGCACCTTCATCTTAACCTTATGTGACAACTTAGCTTCGTTACTGTACTTTGTCTTGAGCTTAGTGATGAGCTTGTCAGCATTGAAGTCTTTGTTCTTGATGTAGTTGATGGCTTCATTGAGTTGCGCCAGTTCCGAGTCATGAGACGAGCTGCTGGTGCTGGCGCTCGCTGTGCTACCCACCTCATCATCATCATTCTTTGTCTCCTGGTGTTAAACAACGTTAATGTGGGTTAGATAATTAATTTGTATAAGAGTTTCATTTCAAGTCACACCACTTTTTAGCTTGTGATTTTTGTTAGCTGAAGTGACTTGGTGGTTGATGGTTACTTTAACGTGCTATCTAAAGTGCCACATTAGTGCTGAGGTTTGCTTTAAGTATAAGATTGTTAAAGCATTCGGTGACAGAATAATCTAGAAATTTGTTGCAGTTTATTGTAGCATGAATGATATTAAACTATCGTATGAGCTTAATAGAAGAGATGTTTTCTGAAAATAAACTGACCTTGTCCATTTCGAAAGTAACATGGTTTGTGTCCGGCACCTGTTCCATAACTTTCACTTTGTTCACTGACTTCTTTTGCCCGGGTCCATATTTGCTTCTATCAAAGTATAGGTCATCATCTTCATCATAAGCGCTTCTATCGTAGTATAAACCATCTGGACCTTCGTCTTTTTTTCCATAGCGCAGTTCGTCAAAGAATTTTATCAACTGAAAAGTTTCTCATGATAATATGGAATCTTGTTGTTCACTCAGATGTAACTGCTGAAATCTTGTTCTTCAATGATACATACTTCATACTATTAGGTGTTTTTTTTTTCAGAAAAAAACAATTTTACTTAAAAAATATTTCGTCAGCTCACCTGATCTTTATCGATATTGTGGATATTCTTCTTGAGCTGAAGTATATCATAGATAGCCTTTGCAACAAGCTTGGTATACGTGTCAGCATTGTAACCCTGGTTGTAGGCACAATTCTCAATTTCGCCCGCTGTCGGAAACCCATACTGCTCTAAACCTCTTAATACCTGAAATTAGTAACATCAGTGAAACAGAACTAAGGATTTGGTCAACTGTTAATCACACTACACAGGGTGCTACTAATTCTATTCCCTAAAGAAAATGATAAAACCACTTTAATCCTATCAGCAATTAAGAATGAAAAAAAGACAAGTTAGAATGAATGGAACAGCCCTTTCATTGCAACAAAAATATAAATTCAGCATTAAACTGTTAATACCAAAAGATTCCTCTTCAATCAACCGAAACGAACAACACTCTAAAACTCAAACTATTCACAATGATCCATTAAACTGTTAATAAAAACATTCACTGCATATCTCAAGCAAACATCTACTCACATGAGTTAGCTTAGTAAGTGACAACTGACAAAGTCTCTGAGTACACCAAGGTTTTCTGCTGTCTATAAATGACATCAATGTAATCCACGAGTAGCTGATCAATTATTACTGAAACAAAACAAATCTCCTCCTGATAACAAATGAGTTGAGAGCAAGCCTGGCTGCGACGTCAAAACATGTTTTATACAGATCAAAGTTTTTAAACTTTCCAATCCGTGACTTGCTACTTAACAATAAACTCATGATACAGTGAGTGTCCACGTGATTTGAACTGGCTGTTCTGATTGGTTCTCTTGAGAAATACTGGTCAGTGATTGGTCGGATGGTGGAGGGAGAGAGTGTTGAAATAGCACGCCATTATGTGGGATGTATCGAGGATGAGAGCTTGTTGTGATTGGTAGCAAGCAGGGCAATTGTGCTCATCAAGCATCAATCATCAGTTAAACAAGTTTACCATTTTAATGTCACGTGACTGATTCTCGTTGTCTGATTGGTTGGTGGATGTCATGGGATTGTGATGGTGGGGTGTGATTGGTTGATGTGATACGGTCTTGTTATGGTTCTATCTGTGGAAGTGGATGTGAAACTGTTGTTTGGTTCGATTGAATTAGTGGAGAAATGTGTGTTTGTGATTTGTACAAACGCATTGTTTGATCTAGCAATACTTGGATAAAATATTTTCAATTTTTGTGGCACTGGACACGGAGATGAAAGTGTTTAAAAGTCAACTTTTCCGGTTGGGAATATCGAGTTTGGTTGGCAGCATGGCTTTTTTCCGCCCGGCTCACCAAGTTTAAATGGTTAAAACATGAGCATTTCCTGTACACAGTTACACGAAAGCTGTTCTCATCATCATAAAGTATCAAACAAAACCACAAAAAGTTAAATGATCAAGATAACTCAAAGAAGTGCCCCGATCTTTGTACAAAAAAAAGATCATCAATAATGCATTGAAATGGTTAAAGCTTCCGAATTTTCATTTAAAGGATTTTAAAAGTTGTTTTATCTTGTTGTGGTTGTGCAACTAACATAACTGATATTTAAATTAACGAAGGAGCACTGGATATCATTTATCGATCAATAGATTTTGTTCTATTTTGATTATTCTTAAAATGAGTAAGATTTTAAAAATAAATTTCACATGCTTTAAATGATTTTATGCGTTACATATTATGTTAAACGTTTGTTTGATAGGCTACTTGAAGTTTTAAAAATTGAATTATCTAATATATTCTGTTCATACATATCACAACTATTCCGGTAAGGAGTGGGAGGTGTCTAATTTTATTAAGAGCACGATTTTGAGCACGCATTTGAATAAAAAAGTAGCAGAATTTGATAAGGTGCTATTAAAATTAAGTAATTCAAGATTAGTAGCCACATTGATAGATACTGTAGGGCAATTCCACGGTAAGGTTCCACTTGGTGAAAATGAAAAATGTTAAGATAGGCACCTAATTTTGGTTAAAATATGTTCATTAGACTCTTAACCTTACAAGTCAACAAAAGTTTTTTGTTTCATATTGCGTTAACTTTTGATTTTTCTCATTCAAAGGAACACTACTCGGAAATGAAAAAAATCGTTCAAATTTTTAAAGGGCCATAGTTTGGGTATGCAGCAATATTTCTCTATGAAATTCCATACACTTAGGCATATGCATAAGAATGAGAGCTATGCAAAGTTTCAAAACCGTTACTCAAATACTTTTTCTAAAAAATTTCCACAAAGATGGTGTCACGTCCGTCACAAAATTAAGCAAAAAAGTTTTTTCAGAGCCACATAGTGCTATTTATATTCAAAAAACCACTGTAACCTATCTCTTCTGAAGGTAAGGGAGTACCGTAGAAATTATCAGGCTTGTATCTTTTAAGAAAAAAATTTTGTAAGGGGGGTCCCAACTTGTCGCGTCCGTCACATTTTTTTGAAAATGCTCCAAAAAATCTTTAAACAGACTTTAAAGGCATTTTTCCTAAAGCTGAGGCCGTCCTCAACAAAACTATGTCGTCAAATCAAAAATTGGACAGAAAATGACCGAGTTATGTATAATTTTGTATATGCCCATATATGGGCATACGGCTCACTTTTAGCCATTTTTATCCATATTTCCATTATTTTGACTAAAACCAAGACGAATAGAAGTCAAATAAGGTTGGATTGTGTTGATTATGTTGACTAGACTATCAAAGAACATCATATGCAATTCAATAATTTAATTTACTGATTTTTTGCCATTTTATTTGCTTACAACTTTTTCAGAGGTAAAAGGCACAAAAAATGGACTTAACCCTATTTTCGCATATTTTTGAAGTAAAAATTCAATATCTTCCACATTTTAAACACTAAAGTAATGAAACTTTTAGGAGATGGTCTCAACAGTATGATGCGTTGAACAGTGATGAATGTTTTACCAGAGTTATAAATTTGTTCTAGTAAAGAAATAATTGATGCCCCTAGACTGATACCCTAGCGTATGCCCAAAATGGACGATTTTGGCTGTTGCAGACCTCTTGGGGGTATTTGAGGCCTAAAAATTGGCATGAATACAGAGTAGATGTCACTGAACAAGATAAAAGTGTCAAGTGGAAGATTTGGAAAAATTGAAAAAAAACGTGTGTCCGTCACAGTCACGTCTGTCACAATTTGAAAATGGCGCCACGCAAACAAAAATTGAGCAATCTCTAAGAAAATGGCATCTCAGAAATCCCTAAACCTTCTTCTATCATTGTAATTTTAAATTAGATACAATAGATAACTTTTTGAGATAAATTTGGGTACCATCTGAGTAGACACCCAAAAAAAGTGTCATATTTACGTCACGTCCGTCACAGGGGTGCTATCTCAGAAAGTAATAATAGTAGGGGTCTGAAATTTTCACACAACCTGTAGAAAGGTTAAATGTGGACTAATAAACAGTTGGAGCTGATAAATAAACAACATCTCGAGTACAACATTCGTTTGAACTTTAAAAAACAGCAAAATCGTGGTGTCCGTCACGGTGGAATTGCCCTGTAGTGAGTACTGTACTAGTGAGAGATGAAACATATTTGTGTTGACACGTGACAGTGATTCTGGGTGTTCATTGGTCAATATAGTAAGCTGATTGGTTAATCTCTGTCACGTGTCTGAGAAAACATAGTTCATCTCCTTATCAATATCTCTATCATCAGTAGTTCACTTATCTCAATATTTTGAGTCTCATGAACTATATCTGTGGGAAGAAATCAATATTTACCTCAATAATCCTGTATAAACTTAAATAGTAAAACTTTATTTTATTTATCTAATTATTCACCGCCGGCAGGCTGTTATTATAAATGTTAAATGTTCTCGGATCATGATGAAGACTTCTCTTTCGACGATGATCTTGAATACAGTAACTCTGAAACCAGTGATACTCATCAGGTCAGTTTGTCTTGTTTCGTTTTGCCAGGACCTCGTGCCCCAAAGCTCTATCATAACCCTAACCGTAACACTAGTCGCTAATCCCAACCACAACCTTAATCCCAATCCTAACCTTAACCACATCATTAACCACAATCTCAACCACAACCTTAACCACAATCCCAATCCCAACCACATCCTAAATCACAACCACAGCCTTAACCACAATCCCAATCCCAACCACATCCTGAATCACAACCACAATCCCCATCCTAACCACAACCTTAACCTTAACCAAAACCACAAACTCAACCACAATCCAACCACAACCTTAATCCAAACCACAACCCCAAAGTTAGGGGCGCTTATTTTTAAGGTACTTAAAAACCTGAGCGGAGCTAGCATGATAACGTAAAAGAATGACTAGTAACTACCCTTCCCATCACTCTATTATTTCAACCAATTTATTGCAGCAAGAAAGAAGATACAACATCGTGGCGGCATCGGACGTTATCAGCGAGATGAACAAATATATAGACAGAGTTAATGAAATATTTAAAGTGGGTAACATTTAGTTCAGTTTATTATTGGATGGAAATGTCTTCCATGATTTGATTATTATTCATTGAATTCATTTAATTGTAATTTTATAGCTAATCATATTTTAGCTATTTGATAATTATTTGATAATTAATTGTTAATAAATTAGTAATTACTGACTCTATCAGATAAAAAGATCGTTAGTTCGTCGACTGTTAGTTCACTTCAAGTGGAACCCTGAACGACTTATTGAAAAGTACGTACAGTTTATTTTTTAATATTTTTTAACATTTTACTGTAAAAGTTATGAAAAAAAGCAGAGATCAGAAAAAAGGTAGATATTCTGGTTCCATAAACCAGAATTTTAGAAGGATGTTTTGAAAGATGGTTTTCAAGATGAGATGAGGCAAAAAGGAAAAAATGTACCTAATTTATCTTTTCACATATAATCCAGTATCCTCAAACAGAATTGTTTGTTATAATAATAATAATTAATAATTTTGCTAAATACACCTATAAAATTAGTAAATATTTAATTTAATTAACAATTTTTAATAATAGAATGAGGTGGAATTTAATTGGAATGTCATTTGACCAGGTATTACGAGAGTCAGGACAACTGTGAGGAATTGTTCAGAGAGGCTGGTCTCGTGTACGTTCCTGAGTGTACCGACACATACCGTAGACAGGTAGATTATTAATTTACTATTTATTCATTTACTAAATTGATTTGTAATTTAATTTTTAGTATTTTTAGTATTTATACTAGTGGGAGTGGTTTAACATGTTTAGACACATACCGTAGAAACTAAAAAGGGTAAATTACCAATTTACTGAAATGATTGAGTATTTTAGCGATCAACAATTAATAAAACAAATATTTAATAAAACAAATATTTATTTTTACGGCACAATCAAACAATATCAATAACAAATAAATCAGGGGAGGTGGAGGTTTGAAGAGGTTTCAAGTGGCGAAGGCCACTGCTTATCTTTAAGATTTTAGAGTGACCTGTGCTTGAAACCCCCTCAACCATCCACTACGTCATTATACTCGTTATACAAATTATATAGGAAAATATAATAATCTAAAATTACTTATTGGTTTAGTTTGGTGACATAGGAGAGCCCAGTTGAGTTTTAGTTTAGGTTTAGGATTTAAATCATAGTTTAAAAGGTTAGCCATGTTTCATGGCCGAGAGAGATATCATGTGTGCAGAGCCGTACCGGATTTAGAATTTGAGATATAATATAAATTAGTTACCATGTATTAAGGGTCATCTCGATTTTGGAGGGATAGCAAGTGCTTTTTAAGGTTAGATTTAATAATACCTGACGAGGCTGACAAATCTGAATTCTTGGAAGAACCCGGGATTATTATCCCATCTTCATTAGCATCACATATTTCGAATACATAGGGGCTGACTTACTGACTTGACTTAAGGCGGGTAGTATTCCCGAGATCCATTGACAACAGTTCTCCACAGCTTTCTGTCCTCCATCAGTCTAGCTATCTCATCTACTGATTTCAGCCCAGTATCTGCTTTTAGGTTATCTAGTAGTGTTAGGTAAGGTCGCCCCCTGTTAGTATGCCCATGACTCGGCTTCCAGAGGATCAGTTTGTTCAGTGTCAGCTCCGGATGTCGGTGAGCATGGCCTGCAAGTCTGAGCCTTCGTTGGGTTATCTTGGAGCTGACTTTAGGAAGATCACCGTACAGACTGTGGTTGCTGACATGGTCTCGATATTGATTGATGTTAAGGGCCATAGGGGCTGAGGTCATTCCAAATTTTCGTAGAGGTGTACAAAAAGTTCTGTTGGGAGATATCTAACCTCAGTAATGGGACAATCAGACGAAGTTTTTCATTTCTAGGACAGAACTGGAAAAGATCTTTAATCGACTGGGGGACATCAAATTTAAGAATTTTGAATAGTTCCATAAATGTATGGTACATGTGCAGATTCTCCAGGTTCATAATATCTGCTCAGTGAATAGCGGTTTAGTGTGTTCAAGACAGTAGTTCTTGCTAGCCATATGTTCGTTATAAGTTCTTGAACGTGCACAGGTTAAATAGTATTCCTTATGATCAAAATTTGGAATGTTACCAAATAGCAGTCTTATACATCGTTTTTGAATTGCAAAGATTTTATTCAGCTTATGTTTAGGGATCTCACCCCAGCAACTTATACAATAGCTAAATGGTGACATAAAAAGAGCATTGTATAGATTCAAATATTCAGATTTGGGAATGAATTTGCAAATTCTCTTAATCGATACAATACTGGAGTTCAGCTTAAAGATAAATGATTAAGATGTGGTTCCCAGCTTAGCTGATCGTCTATTATACAATTAAATCAGGCCAAGAAGTTCACGTTTACTTTAATTGAGCTACTATATAAAACTTGATTTTATTTATATTTTAGTAATAATAATAATCTAATTTGATAAGTGGAAGTAACAAGTTACATAACGAGACAATTGTAATAATTTTGTTACAATGTAAGGTATAATAATAATTCTGTTCAACTTTCAAAAGTTACTTCTACATAAAACAAAAAAAAAGCCATTTCATAGCTTCGTCTAAAATATCATAAATATAAAATCAGTAGTATGGTAATATCATCAACTACATAGTAAAATAAAACAGTACAAACATGAAGCAATTCATTCTGATGTTAATTCACAAGATATTTAAATCCCTAATTAATAAATTAATCTCATTCAATTAATAAATTGTATTTTAAAGTTTGAAGTGTTAGTGATATCTTACTTCAACAGAATCTTTGAGTTTATCAAGTAGACTACACATGCGATGATAATCCTCAAGTATCGTACCTTTTTCAGGATACATTATTACTGTGCACTTAACTCGTGCTCGTGACATGGCCATATATAAATGTTCTGAATCAAATGACATGGCCATATATAAATGTTCTGAATCAAATGACAACTTTTCAGGCCCTTCAATAAGTGTATCAGCTTCATAATCATATAATTGCTGCAGTGTTATAACTGCTGGCCATTCTTGTGAATATGTTGACACCACCCCCCTTGGTGTAATATCTTTTGAAAATAATATCCTTTCCACAATGGTTTTAACTAAATTTGTTGTGTCATTTTCACTGAGAGTATAAAGAATACCCACATCATTACCATCTATCATATCATCAAAACATAATTCATGAAATTCGTTGTCAAAAATAGAATATATAAGTTCCTCGTTAAACTTTTGCAGAACATGCACGATAGTTTTTGGTCCATGTATGTAGTGCCCGGGGACTTGTAAAATTGCGAAATCATTTCTAAATTTTGATACAAGGTTTCCCGGCTCAATGATATGTTCTCGAATTACTGACAATGTTCTCGACAAATCAGAGGTGTTTCTCAAGTTCTTTGATAAACTTACAGGTTGTGTAGATGATAATTTGTCGTTAAAAAGTGCTGCTAGTCTAGAGGCATGTCCAAACATTTCCTCCTCATCAGCATCATAAATAGGGCTTTGTAACGTGTCACATGAGATCCAAACATGACAAGAACATGGCAGTTCTAAAAATGCTCTAAATATCTCATAGATTTTATTGATGTCTTCTTTTACTCTATTCCACCTGAACAGTCCTTGAATATCGTCGAAAAACACGTGAATTCCTTTTCCTTGAAATAAACGTATTAAGATTATTAACGATGTATTATCTATGCCTTCGATATAGTTAGTTTCAGCATTAAAATCCTTAAGCATCATTATGACAACTTGATTGTCATTAAGATAGCCTCTTATTGTACTCCAGAGTTCATCAGCAGGTTTATCAGCTATTTCTGTTACAAAAATAAAAACGTGCTTAACACCTGCTTTTTCTAACGGCTTATGTAGATGCTCTGGGGATGTCATGACTTCATCAGTGTGACACGTTTCACAGAATAAAACAATTATGTTTTCTTCATTTGACAATGCTAGTTGTAGCATCTTAGCTAGTAGTACAACAGTTTTACCAGCTCCAGCGGGTCCATTGATCCACAAGAACTTCTCATCTGAATTTATCAAATCGTACTGTTGTTTAGTCAAGTTGTCTATTCCTAAAAAGTCCTTGACAATCGTGGGTGATGGAATGACGTCAGGGTTATTGCTTCTGAAGGTAAATCTTCCTGAACGCAGTTGCTCGCCGATTTTTACTATATACACTTACCCAAACTACATTTGGACTTATCACAAATGGTCTTGTCTGTACACCATATAGCTAATAATAAGTTCCTAACATTTTCATGTTTGGTGCGAAACTCAGGACGCAAAGGCTCATCCAAGACTAGATCACTTACATTGTCTTTCCACCAATCACTAAAATCTTCTAAATCTTCTTTGAAAATTATTGACGAAAGTTTATCTCTGCTTATCGGAAATTCTTTCTTGAATGCTCTTTCAAAGTTGGGGTAATATATGGTAAACTGGAGAACTGTTAACCGTTTACAAAATCTCTTAACAAATTGTACCATCTTGTTCCTCTGGTCCAATGATTTCTGGAAAGTTTTGGCCAACGCTTGCGACTGTTGATTATTGTTACACCCAGGGTCTGATTGATTCCTGATATGACCCATATTCTTCACTTCAATAATTACAAAGCAGTTTGGTGCTATAACTACAAAGTCGCACTCGCCTTCTCGGTTAGTTGCTCTCTTCTTACACTCTGTACATTTTCGTTTAACATGGGTTAAATCTCCCAGATAATATTGGAAATGAGTATATTCAAAACTATGAAGAACAATAAAATCTCCTCCACTCAGTTTCTCTAAAGCTCTGTATACAATAACCTCAGCCTCATAGTTGAGTTGCTGGTTTCTGTCATTTTCAAAACTACATCCGGGCTTATCTTCAGGGTAAAGGTCTACATACTTTTGTTGAGGAGCTCTAGGTAACATGATGGGATCTTTGTCTCCATGCCAGTTGAACAGTATGTTTCAAATATCTCATTTCCATTCCGCAGATATTTCTCGTACTGTGTTTCTTTCTTGGTCATAGCAATCGTTACTGTAGTGCAAACGTTTAGTACTTTAGTCTTAATTAACCTTGTCAGCTAAACAAATTAAGAATAATACGGAGGTTCTGATGCTAGGAGTTATCACCCATCAAGTATCAGTACTTAGGGTTTTAGCGAAAAATATATTTATATACAGGGCCCAGGGGGGGGGGGGGGCCAAACTCAGTACCCATACGTTGGGTCTTATACCACCGCCGTGTTTTATATTTGAGAGTTGTTGCTTTGCAGATGGCATACTTTACCTACTTGTTTGAGGATTCCGTCACCAAAATTTGAAATTTCGATTTTTGGGGCCCACACCCAATCAGCATTGAATTGCTTATACTCGTGTTTGTGAACATGTCAGAGACTCTGTTGTAACATAATATTGCAATAGGTCATTTAATCCGGAATATGATCTGAAAAGATGGTGCGAAACGGATTTAAAATGACAAAGTTATCAAGCAATTTTTTTATCTAGTTAGCAAAATTGATTGGGTAATCAGTGATTACCTAATTACGACACCGTAATTGGGCTCTCTGCACGATTCCCATAATGCGGATCTAGCCTCAACCTAATCACCTGATCAAGTGATCACATCTGAGAAGCTAGAACTCTCATTTTTTCAGGACAATTTTAATTTAAATGACCAAACACCATTCAATAATATTTGGCTCGATCCG